GAATCTGCCCGTCAATGCAGGGGACACGGGTTTGAGCCCTGGTCCGGGAAGATCCCACATGCCTCAGAGCAACTAAGCCCTTGCACCATAACTACTGAGCCTGAGTGCCACAACTACTGAAGCCCACACACCTAGAGCCCGTGCTCCGCAACGAGAGAAGCCACCACAATGAGAAGCCCGCACACCGCAACAAAGAGTAGCCCCCCACTCGCCACAACTAGAGAAAGCCTGCATGCAGCAACGAAGACCCAATGCAGCCAAAACTAAATAAAATAAATAAATATTTTTTTAAAAAGCTAGTTAGCAGCAGGACATGTCTCCTGACAGGAAGTATAGTGCTCATGCTAGCATACCCATATATATCTGTACATCTGTACACTGCCTATTTCCTTTTCATCCCTTTTCTCCTCCAAGTAAAGCTTGTTTGGTGGCAAGTAAACAATTTTCTACTTCTCATTTATAGTTCTAGTCCACTGACTGTCATAAAGGGCTTAAATCTATCTTGACATTTCCCTTCAGCCAATATCTGTGAACTCTAATTTTGTTGAACCCCTGAATCATCCAAGCCCTAAACTGCATCTCAAATACCTCTGTTTACAAATTTTGCTATTTCTACTCATCACCACAGCACAGCTGAACCACAGATCAGTTCCTTGTGTCCTTCTTTATCTTTTATCAATGCCATTTATGTTGTTTTCTTCAAATTCCTAAATAATAAACCAAGATAAGGGGTATTTTTTTTCCTGTGCTCTCTTTCAACATGTCCTCTTTGGGCCAGAAATGTCACCACCTGGAATGGCAGGGCATTCACCATGTCTGTTGTGCATCCTGGTATGAATAACTCCACTGAATTTGACCACCCTAAGCCATGCTGAGCCATAGGATCAAGGACCCCCTTTCCTCTAGAAGTCAGAAAAAGAAGAGACCCAAAGGAAAAGAAAACTGAGGGAATGCTTTCCAAATAAAGTTGATTCTGAGTAACAGCTCACTAGGCACTAGCTACCTTTGCTTGATCTCTAGAATCTGAGCAATGTACCCAGAAACTGCTTGTGCCAAGTCTGGCTTCAACCCCAGAGAATGGAAGAAAGAAAAAGAGGGGAAGCCATAGGCTGTTCCACAGCGGGCATGATCTGGGAGTCTAGCCCCCAGACTTAAGGTTATAGACTAGCTCTGGGGAGTGGAACTGACAAATTTTATTCAGCACACATATACTGAATACACACTATATACTCTACGTTGGGAGTGAGCAACAAATTCAGTTGCGTGATCTCATTTAGTCCTCACAACAATGCAGAGAGACATTGTTTATCCCCATTTTACAGCTTTAAAAAACTGAGCTGTAAGGGTAATTAACTTATGCCAAAGTCATACAGACACCAAACAGTAATGCTCCAAGTGGAGCCCAACTCCAAATATAGTACTCTGGCCTCCACAGCACACATATACAAAAAAGACAGAAGGTGACAGGGATGGAAAGATACATTTGAGCTACCTTATATAGTTAACAGAACGCTGTGGCATTCCCTTTCTCATTATCTCTAAAGATTATACTGTTGGGACAAATAAAACACCCTGAGACGAAAGGAAGGCAAGGATACAGAGACTCTCTGGATATCTCTCTATGTACTCTCAGGGACATTGTTCCACCTATAGAATTGTCCAGGTTGTTAAGAACTTGCATTAATTTTCTAGGTTCTGTTTAATTTTTTAGGATCTCAAGAGCTTACTCAAGTCATCCATGTATTTCCATCAAGCAGACAAAGAGGAAGACTAAACCCTACTAATCACTCATTGGAAGACTCAGAGCAAAGTTCTTTCCAAGAACTGATGGCCAAATATCCAGCCATAATACAAGTAAGCTTAGAAAAGCTCTTCTTAAGCCCTGACATGATGGAATTTTTCCTAAACCATCCAGCATGTAATAAAACCAGTATAAAGAGAAACAACTCTGCATTTTTCTACTTTGAGTCCTGTAGACCCCACTTCCCTAGCCTTGCTCCTATTACTCATAGTCTATACTGTGATCTTAATCATGGACTTTTCTGGAAACCTCTCTCTCATTATTATCATCTTTAAGAAGCAGAGAGAAGCTCAGAATGTCACCAACATACTGTACGCCAATCTCTTCCTCTCTGACATCTTGGTATGTGTCGTGTACATCCCTTTTACTATCATCTACACTCTGATGGATCACTGGATATTTGGGGATATCATGTGCAAACGCACCTCCTATGTGCATAGTGTCTCCATATCTGTGTCCATATTCTCACTTGTGTTAACTGCTGTTGAAACATATCAGCTGATTGTGAACCCTCGGGGCTGGAAACGCAGTATAGCTCACGCCTACTGGGGTATCCCATTGATTTGGCTATCTTCCCTTCTGTTGTCTATTCCCTTCTTCCTGTCCTATCACCTCACCCATGAGCCCTTCCAAAACCTCTCTCTTCCCACTGACCTCTACACCCAGCAGGTGGCCTGTGTAGAGAACTGGCCCTCCAAAATGAATGGGCTCCTCTTTACCACCTCCCTGTTTATGCTGCAATATTGTGTCCCTCTGAGCTTCACCCTCATCTGCTACCTGAAGATTGTTATCTGCCTCGGCAGGAGAAATGGGAAAGTAGACAAGAAGAGGGAAAGTGAGAGCTGGGTCAGGGAGAACAAGAGGATCAACACGATGTTGATTTCTACTGTCGTAACCTTTGGGGTCTACTGGCTTCCCTTGAACATCTTCAAGGTCATCTTTGACTGGTATCATGAGTTCCTGATGAGCTGCCACCATGACCTGGTATTTGTATTTTTCCACTTGATTGCTATGGTTTCTACATGTATACATCCTCTGTTTTATGGCTTTCTCAACAAAAATTTCCAGAAGGACCTGGTATTGCTTATTCACCACTGCTGGTGCTTTGCACCTCGGGAAAGATATCAAAATACTGCCATCTCCAGTATGCACACAGATGAACCCAAGGGACCATTAAGATTAGCTCATACATCAAGAAGTATATAAAGGGCTTCCCTGGTGGTGCAGTGGTTGAGAGTCCGCCTGCTGATGCAGGGGACATGGGTTCGTGCCCCGGTCCGGGAAGATCCCACATGCCGCGGAGGGGCTAGGCCCGTGAGCCATGGCCGCTGAGCCTGCGCGTCCGGAGCCTATGCTCCGCAACGAGAGAGGCCACAACAGTAAGAGGCCCACGTACCGCAAAGAAAAAAACAAAACAAAACAAAACAGAAGTATATAAAAACTGGTAACACTTAGTGCTAAAGCCCTCCTTATGTGAGAGATGGAGAGGTAATGGCTGGGGATAAGGCAAGATGCAAAAGAAGCCAGAACTAAAAAAATTTTTTAAAAAGCAACTTTATGCTAACCAATTTTGCTTTAGGCCACACCTATCTGTCTCATACATCTACCCAATACAAACACACACACACACACACACACACACACACACACACACGTGTGTGCGTGCACATCACCCTTTTCTCTTAGAAGAATAATAACTCACACACCTAGCTGCCATCATTTGTGGCAAAGAATGACAGAAAGCAAGAGAGGCAAGGAACACTGATGGCTGGGGAACAAAATTCCCAGATATTGTTATTCAATGGAATATCCACAAGAGTTATTACTAATGACGTGCCCACTAAAAACAATGCTATATATATATCCTTAGTGCTGAAGCAATTCCACTTTCTGATATGGAAATTGTAACTTTCAACCATGTAACTATTCAACTAATTAGCAATGTCAGAAAGACCCCTATTATAATTTACTAATTAGCTGAGTTTGGATTGGAAGTTGAAGAAATGGTTTTAAGTTAACATTTAAACTAAGTATTGTAATTATAATTAATCCACATGCCTGAGTCAGATTCTCTAGTTTATGACAACAGTACATTTTCTTCACTAACAATACTATTAGTGCTACTAGAACTGGTCACAAACTCTTTAGCACTCCAATTATGCTCAAATCACATAAACTAACTTATTAATGGCCAATGTAGATAGAGCTTTCATTACAAAATGACTTTTTATCTCTAATTCTTTATGTATATTAAGTAGGGGTTATGTGACTCTATCATTGGGTCTGATGAACTTCATTAGTAACACTTATAGTTAGCTCCAGATTTTTTAAAACCTCTTGCATATCTTATGACTTAAACATTTTAAAAATATCCCTCATCCCTACAGAGTCACTTAAATAGAGAATCAGCTAGATTGTCTTCAAAAACGATACTAAGCTACTGTTCAAATTAGCTCAATGACTTTTACTAAATGATGACCGGCTTTATCTCTTCCTGGGATACGTCTCCCTATTAAACTGGGGCTGCAGCTTATTTGTATGTTAAAAATGCAACCATATTTTCTTCTTTCTTTTGAATAAAAGGTAATGTTTCTCTGAATACCTGTAGTTTTTCAATTGTGTGTGTAGTTTTTTTTCCACATTAATCTCCATATTTTCCCCTCCTGAAAAATCTTTTCTCTCTCTCTCTCCCCTTCCCCGCTCTGTCTTTGTTTCTCCCTCCTCTCTCCTTCCCTCCATCTAGTTTTTCCTTCTCTTCAGGATTTCTATTCTCTCTGATATATCATTTTGGGGAAAATGAACAAAAAAAGCACTGCAGGATACCCAACAGAAATAAAACGTAACAGTATCATAGGCCCGTGGGCCGCTGAGCCTGCGCGTCCGGAGCCTATGCTCCGCAACGAGAGAGGCCACAACAGTAAGAGGCCCACGTACCGCAAAGAAAAAAACAAAACAAAACAAAACAGAAGTATATAAAAACTGGTAACACTTAGTGCTAAAGCCCTCCTTATGTGAGAGATGGAGAGGTAATGGCTGGGGATAAGGCAAGATGCAAAAGAAGCCAGAACTAAAAAAATTTTTTAAAAAGCAACTTTATGCTAACCAATTTTGCTTTAGGCCACACCTATCTGTCTCATACATCTACCCAATACAAACACACACACACACACACACACACACACACACACACACACACACCATATCTGTGTCCATATTCTCACTTGTGTTAACTGCTGTTGAAACATATCAGCTGATTGTGAACCCTCGGGGCTGGAAACGCAGTATAGCTCACGCCTACTGGGGTATCCCATTGATTTGGCTATCTTCCCTTCTGTTGTCTATTCCCTTCTTCCTGTCCTATCACCTCACCCATGAGCCCTTCCAAAACCTCTCTCTTCCCACTGACCTCTACACCCAGCAGGTGGCCTGTGTAGAGAACTGGCCCTCCAAAATGAATGGGCTCCTCTTTACCACCTCCCTGTTTATGCTGCAATATTGTGTCCCTCTGAGCTTCACCCTCATCTGCTACCTGAAGATTGTTATCTGCCTCGGCAGGAGAAATGGGAAAGTAGACAAGAAGAGGGAAAGTGAGAGCTGGGTCAGGGAGAACAAGAGGATCAACACGATGTTGATTTCTACTGTCGTAACCTTTGGGGTCTACTGGCTTCCCTTGAACATCTTCAAGGTCATCTTTGACTGGTATCATGAGTTCCTGATGAGCTGCCACCATGACCTGGTATTTGTATTTTTCCACTTGATTGCTATGGTTTCTACATGTATACATCCTCTGTTTTATGGCTTTCTCAACAAAAATTTCCAGAAGGACCTGGTATTGCTTATTCACCACTGCTGGTGCTTTGCACCTCGGGAAAGATATCAAAATACTGCCATCTCCAGTATGCACACAGATGAACCCAAGGGACCATTAAGATTAGCTCATACATCAAGAAGTATATAAAGGGCTTCCCTGGTGGTGCAGTGGTTGAGAGTCCGCCTGCTGATGCAGGGGACATGGGTTCGTGCCCCGGTCCGGGAAGATCCCACATGCCGCGGAGGGGCTAGGCCCGTGAGCCATGGCCGCTGAGCCTGCGCGTCCGGAGCCTATGCTCCGCAACGAGAGAGGCCACAACAGTAAGAGGCCCACGTACCGCAAAGAAAAAAACAAAACAAAACAAAACAGAAGTATATAAAAACTGGTAACACTTAGTGCTAAAGCCCTCCTTATGTGAGAGATGGAGAGGTAATGGCTGGGGATAAGGCAAGATGCAAAAGAAGCCAGAACTAAAAAAATTTTTTAAAAAGCAACTTTATGCTAACCAATTTTGCTTTAGGCCACACCTATCTGTCTCATACATCTACCCAATACAAACACACACACACACACACACACACACACACACACACACACACGTGTGTGCGTGCACATCACCCTTTTCTCTTAGAAGAATAATAACTCACACACCTAGCTGCCATCATTTGTGGCAAAGAATGACAGAAAGCAAGAGAGGCAAGGAACACTGATGGCTGGGGAACAAAATTCCCAGATATTGTTATTCAATGGAATATCCACAAGAGTTATTACTAATGACGTGCCCACTAAAAACAATGCTATATATATATCCTTAGTGCTGAAGCAATTCCACTTTCTGATATGGAAATTGTAACTTTCAACCATGTAACTATTCAACTAATTAGCAATGTCAGAAAGACCCCTATTATAATTTACTAATTAGCTGAGTTTGGATTGGAAGTTGAAGAAATGGTTTTAAGTTAACATTTAAACTAAGTATTGTAATTATAATTAATCCACATGCCTGAGTCAGATTCTCTAGTTTATGACAACAGTACATTTTCTTCACTAACAATACTATTAGTGCTACTAGAACTGGTCACAAACTCTTTAGCACTCCAATTATGCTCAAATCACATAAACTAACTTATTAATGGCCAATGTAGATAGAGCTTTCATTACAAAATGACTTTTTATCTCTAATTCTTTATGTATATTAAGTAGGGGTTATGTGACTCTATCATTGGGTCTGATGAACTTCATTAGTAACACTTATAGTTAGCTCCAGATTTTTTAAAACCTCTTGCATATCTTATGACTTAAACATTTTAAAAATATCCCTCATCCCTACAGAGTCACTTAAATAGAGAATCAGCTAGATTGTCTTCAAAAACGATACTAAGCTACTGTTCAAATTAGCTCAATGACTTTTACTAAATGATGACCGGCTTTATCTCTTCCTGGGATACGTCTCCCTATTAAACTGGGGCTGCAGCTTATTTGTATGTTAAAAATGCAACCATATTTTCTTCTTTCTTTTGAATAAAAGGTAATGTTTCTCTGAATACCTGTAGTTTTTCAATTGTGTGTGTAGTTTTTTTTCCACATTAATCTCCATATTTTCCCCTCCTGAAAAATCTTTTCTCTCTCTCTCTCCCCTTCCCCGCTCTGTCTTTGTTTCTCCCTCCTCTCTCCTTCCCTCCATCTAGTTTTTCCTTCTCTTCAGGATTTCTATTCTCTCTGATATATCATTTTGGGGAAAATGAACAAAAAAAGCACTGCAGGATACCCAACAGAAATAAAACGTAACAGTATCACAGTATTAGCTGCAAATAAAAGCTCTTATCTAAAAACCAACTTCAAATGGTGTCAGTTTAGAATCCTAAAGGTACAGCTGCATCCCCTTAGCCCAGAAAACAGCTCTTCCTAGATATTTCTATCTCTTCTGACAGACAGTGGTTAATATATACTATAATTAAGATCCAATGTGCTATTTTACTTACTTGGTAAAGATATAATGATTCTAGTTTCCATTACTAAACAGATTTAGACCAAGCCACTGAAAGCAGAAAACGGCTTTCATCAAACTCTGATACCACCCTCTCCCCTCACCAAAACACAAACACCTGGGCTCCTCTAACCCTGGCACCCCATCCCGAGCATTCACAAGAGATCTCCAATCTGTTCCTAAATATTGTAGTGCTCTTTCTGGCTCCATGATAAGAACTATTTCCTTCTCCAATAAAACTGTTCTGTCTTTTCTTCTGAACTTTTCTTGAGCTTTAATGAAATAAAAGTCACTAATGACATAACTATCAATTATAGTCTTTTGCATTGCCATTTGCAGCAACATGGATGGACCTGGAGATTATCATACTAAGTGAAGTAAGTCAGAAAGAGAAAGACAAATATCATATGATATCACTTACATGCAGGATCTTAAAAAAATGATACAAATGAACTTATTTACAAAACAGAAACACTCACAGGCTTAGAGAACGAATTTATGATTACTGGGGGAAATGGGGGGGAGGGATAAATTGGGAGTTTGGGATTGACATGTACACACTACTATATTTAAAATAGATAGCCAACAAGGGCCTACTGTATAGCACAGAGAACTTGGCACAATATTCTGTAATAACCTAAGTGGGAGAAGAATTTGAAAAAGAATGGATACTTGTTTGGGTATAACTGAATCACTTTGCTATACACCTGTAACTAACACATCATTGTTAATCAACTATACTCCAATATGAAATATTTTTTTAATTAAAAAAAATAGTAGTCTTTCTTGGGTTTATTTTTTCCTCAAAAAAGTAGTGCATTAACTGTAGTTTTAATGCATGCTTTTACCTGTAAGGGATTTTCATTCTGACAGATGGGAGAGCACAGGTCTATAAGTAGCTACTTAGGAAGGTATAATGAGAATATAAACCAAGTGTCGTGCGGACCCAGTGGAGGTAAAATGCATTTTTGAGAGTAAACAAGGAAAGATTTCAGGAAAGTCTACCATACTGTTTCTGCAGCATTTGTGGATGGTGCACACCAACTGGTCTACTGTTGAACCACTTGGTGAATGAAATAAGGCCTCATTTTCTCACTTGCCTCTCCCCCAGTTGCCAGGTGGGCCTGTATTCTCCCTGCTAGGGATCTATCTGAGACTGGAACTTGACGATGTTTGCCTGATAGCCATGCAAACACAGTTCCCTCTAGCCACTGCTCCGAATATCTGTTCCTCTGTCTCCTGACCTCAAATCATTTTGGATTGAGAGTAATTTCTCTTATCTTTAAAAGTTTCCAGAAAAGATGACTATTAGTGGGATGTATGTGTCTCCCTACTGAACCAGAGCTGAATGAGAAAGTGCTAATACATCCTGCAATGGTTTCCCTAAGTTTTCTCTCTGACCGTTTCTAAAGATGCCCCAGATAATTTCTAACAGAGAATCAACAACATAAATGATCCAACATAACAAATACCCAAATATGGTTTAAATACGTATGCTGCATATTTTTCTACAATGGAAATGTAATATCCTGAAAAAGGTGTAAATAACTTGACAGAGCAATAAGCATGAGGCTTCATTTTTTTGTGTGTATGAATATTTTCTCCCATTCTGTAGGTTGCCTTTTCATTTTGTTGCTTTTAGTATTTCTTTTTAAAAAAATTGTCATTACTTGAATTGGGAAATTGTAATTGACATATATACACTATTGATACTATGCATAAAACAGATAACTAATGAGAACCTACCTATAGCACACAGAACTCTACTCAATGCTTTTTTGGTGACCTAAATAGGAAGAAAATCCCATCCCAAAAACGGGGGGATGTATGTATACATACAGCTGATTCACTTTACTGTACAGTAGAAACCAACACAACATTGTAAAGCAACTATACACCAATAAAAAATTTTTAAAAAACCAACAATAAAACCCACTTTAGCTTCAAAATAATAAATAAACAGTCATTACTTTATTTATTTATTTATTTATTTTTAATTTTTGGCCGCACCACAGGGCACGTGGGATCTCAGTTCCCTGACCAGGGATCGAACCCACGCCCCCTGCATTGGAAGGCGGAGTCTTAACCACTGGACCACCAGGGAAGTCCCTTATTTTATTTTTTTAATTTAACTTTTATTTTATATTGGAGTATAGCTGATTTACAGAGGCTTCAATTTAAAGAAACTGTTCCTCACTCTGTGCTATGGAGAAAGAGTATATAATTTGTCAGCCCAGTAAAAAGGTCAACCTCAGGGGCTTCCCTGGTGGCGCAGTGGTTGAGAGTCTACCTGCCGATGCAGGGGACACGGGTTCGTGCCCCGGTCCAGGAAGATCCCACATGCCGCAGAGCGGCTGGGCCCGTGAGCCATAGCCGCTGAGCCTGCGCGTCCGGAGCCTGTGCTCCGCAAGGGGAGAGGTCACAACAGTGAGAGGCCCGCATACCGCCAAAAAAAAAGTCAACCTCTCTTCCTGTAAACTTTGTTTTTTTGTAGAATAATAAATCAAGATAAATATATTAAGTTCTCACTATGTCTTTAGCAGTGTATTAGGCACAGAATAAGTATGACACAACTTTAAGAGTTTACAGTCTAGTTGAGGCTTTAAAGAGTTTACAATATACTAGAGGGGTAATTCAATGTCTTGGTTTTGAAGGCTTTCCTTCTGGCTAGGTTGAAAGCTGCCAAAAGGAAAGTTAAGAGTAAATGATGGCAGAGTTAGTATCAAAGGAGGACTCACTTTTTCTTTATACCCATAAGTGAGAATATACTGGGGAAGAAAAGAGGAAGTATTCTAGAAGAGGGGTCAAGGAGGAGTATTTAACATTGATAAGCCCAGGAATTCCTAAAATCCTCCCTGAAGTCACCTATGCAATAAATGTGCTCATGCAATAAACTGGAGAAATGAGACGACGAGTGTTTCCAGTGCGCATTAAGGAAGGCAAGGCAGGTCTGTTTCCCCTGTTACTGTGTCCAAATCAAACTCCTTGTCGATGCTGGGATAGTATTTGCCCTGCAGAAGAAGTGAAAGGATGTGTGATGCCAGTGACAGGAACACATCCATCTTCCATCTGGTCACCGACTGTTTCCTGTGATCTTCTATTTTAGGTAGAGAAATCTGTTCTTCTCAACTAGACTGTGAACTTTCAGAGACGTTAACCT